TACTATGCTCTACTCTACTCGACTATACTATACTAGACTCTGCTATACTATAGAGTACTATGGTATCTAGGTTCCTGAGTGACCCCTTTATAATAAGGGTACCCCTTTTCCTGCTATTCAGTTTTAAGGGAACCATACAATAAAAAGGGCAAAAGGGTACTACTCAGGACCCTAAACCCTAAACCCTAAACCCTAAACCCTAAACTCAAGGCTTAAGAAGGATCCCCTTTAAGGGGTCTCCCCAATACGACCTCTACTATACTAGACTCTGCTATACTATAGTATAGAACGTTGAGCCCATGGTTCTGAGCAATGCGACCGCGTTTCAGAGCCGAAGCTTTGGGTGTAACCTTTAAAGGGGATCATAAGGGCTCCTTTAGAGGGCTCTATACGGGGTACTATATTGAGGCTTTAGTGGGGATAGTTAGGGTGCCTGCCTTTAAAGGAATAAAATATCTATAAGGGCACTATAACGGTTTAGGGGTTTAGGGTTTAGGTGCTAATGTGAGAACCTGACTTGGCAACACTGGGTCTCTAGTGGGTTCTTTATATGAACCCTCATATTTCGGTGGTATCGGGCTCCTACATTCGATCCTAAACCCTTAAGCCCTAAACCCAAAGCTCTAAGCCATAAAGAACTAGAGTCCATAGCCCTAAGCCCTAAGCCGGCCTCCTTCTTCAAGGTCTGCGTCTTCTCCTCCACTTTTGCTACCTCCTGCCTGGCCTGCTGCACCTGGAACGAAGTTGGGGTTCCCAGACAACTGGATTTGCGGGCTTGGGGTTTGAGTTTGGGGTTTAAGGTTCAGGAGTTCAGGGTTTAGGCTTTAGGGTTTAGGATTTGTAACACTGAGGCATAACTGGAAAGTACCGAAAGCAAACAAAAAGTTTTCCGTTGCTGGGCCCTCAATGCGAATCCATTCAGTACTCGAAGAAACTACAGCGGTCGATCTCTCTATGCCTTTAGGGTTTCGGGTTTAGGGCCTATGCTTTATCAGGGGGCCCCCGAAGAAAGACAAACTCAAAGGAGTGTCCATGCGGTCTGCTTGGGGCCGAGACCACATGGCCCCCATGAAATCACGGGGCTCAGGTTTAGGGTTTAGGGTTCCCATCACCAAAGGGGCCACAACGACACCAGCCATCATCGGCGCAACAACCAAGACCAACACTGTTCTATCGCCAACCCCAAGGACCATCACAACCAACAGTAGCAGCAGTTCCAACAACGTCCGTATCACAACGACAACATCATCTAGTAAACTACAAAACCCAGCACCTGCAACAGTAATGACAAGTATCATCATCGTCGTCGTCATCATCAACAACAACACACAAATCGTCATTCACGACCACCTTCACCCATCAAGTTCAACTTAACAACCACAATCACAATCAGCAGGCGAGACACCAACGACCTGCAGGTGCCACCAGCGCGCCTCCTGCTGCCTCTTCACCAGCATCGCCTTCGCCTGAGCCACCTCGGCACAGTGACGCCCATGCCGCCCCCCCCCCCCTCCATCGCTCTCCCTTCACAATCAACTTAACCCTCCCAAGGCCTAGGGGTTACAGTTTGAAGCTTCAGACTCAGAAGTCAAGGGTCAAAAGAGCCCCAAGTGTTAAACTTAGGAGGCTGAACAGAGGTCGAAACAATCAGATGGACCACTGATGGACCCCAGAACCTGGTCCAACAGCGCAGAGTTTCTCTGGAGCAAAGGATGCCCTCGGCCTAAACCCTTAATCCTAAACCCCTAAAACCCTAAACCCTAAAACCCTAAACCCTAAACCCTAAACAATAAAAAACCCCTAACCCCTAAACCCTAAACCCTAACCCCTTAAACCCTAAACCCCTAAACCCCTAAACCCTAAACCCTAAACCCTAAACCCTAAACCCCTAAACCCGTGAACCCCTAAACCTCAAAACCCTGAAGCCTACCGGCCTACGTCAAACCTGCGAGGCGGCGTGTACAGCAACCCTACGCCCCGCATCTGGGGCCTTAGCAATTAGAGTAGGGTTCAGGGTTTGGGGTTCTGGGTTTAGGGTTCAAGGTTTAGGGTTTGGGGTTCTTGAAAGGGTGATACAAGGGTTAGCTGAGGGATACTATACGGGTTCTGTTCTAAGAGCTTCTGCGATAAAGGGTCCTTAACAAGTAGAATCAGTACAATTGGGTTTTGGGCTTCCTGAGACCATGATTATAGCATGGAGCCCCGAGCAATAGCATTACTAATTCAGTGTTCTGGCCTATTTACCATCAGCCCTAAACCCTAAAAAAAAAACACTCAAACCCCCAAAGCGACAGCTTTGCAGGTGGCATTGACACTCGCTCAAAACAGCTCTCCGCAAAATATCACACAAAGTAGGTTCCCTATTTCGTTAGGGTTTACTTGTATGGAGTTGTGTTCCCAATGGTCTCGCCTTCAAGGGAGCGTTGGAACAGCCAAACCACAAAACCGAAGTCCTAAAACCTACACTCTGAAATTCTAAGCCCTATACCCAAAACTCGAAGCCCTAAAACTTCAATGTGCTAAACAACTGCCGAACCCTTTTGAAACCCACATCGCACTCCTTCCAAAACCAAGTAACAATCGCACACGACCCTGAACAAATTCACAACATCCCTTAAACACCCGTAGTTAGCACTCCCCCTTTTTATAACCCTAAGGAGCTACACCCTAAACCCTAACTGAAGAACTCCAGGGGATCCGCCCGCTCTCGCGTCTTCTCCTTCAAATCCTTGGCCTCGGCTGCCTGGGTGCGCATCTACGGGGGAGCGGATGTGGTTTAGGGATTTGACAAACTTGGCGGTTTAGGGTTTTTAAGGGTTTAAGGGTTTAAGGGTTTAGGGTGTAGGGTTTGGGGTTCAGGGGTTCGGGTTTGTTTAGATTCTAGTGCCAAGGCTGTTCAGCGTTTGCTTTTGGCTTATTGGATTTCTTGATGAACCCACACACCTCTATGCAAATAGTTGTTGGAAGGTTGAGGCCATCCTTGCGTCCAGTAACATATGGGTATTTCTCTAAATTAGGGTTCCTTTTAGGGCCCTTTTTATAAGGGTGCCGTACTATTTGGGGCACCTAAGAGGGACCCTGATTTAGATAGCTACCCATATGATAGGAGCGGGGCCAAGCCATCCACACTCTCGCTGGTTCTTGCCGCTTCAATTCCAAGTTGAACGTGTGTCTTGTGGCTGCATGGAAGCATATGAAGGAAATGTGCCCAGACGCCTCTGTAGATGGATCTAAACCACAGTACGTAGGTGTCCGACCGTTATATGGCCTAAGATACTCTCAAAAGGATCCATGGTCGCATCCCCCAACGATCTGTAAAATATGTTTGAGAACTCTGGAAGAAAAAAGCAACGCATGAAACCTTGTCTTTGGATCCTTCGAAGTCTAGCTACGGAAGAAGACTCTAGGGCTTAAAACCCTGAACCCTCGAAATCCCTCAACCTTGATCCCAAAACCCTACATGCTGAACCCTGAACCCTAAACCCCCAGCCCTGAACACTAAACCCTAAAACCCTAAATCACCCTGCCCTAAAACCCTAAAACCCCTAAAAGCCTAAAACCCTAAACCCTAAAACCTAAAACCCTAAAATAAAACCCTAAACCCAAACCTGCCCAGCGCCTCCGTATGTAAGTCCTCGATCCGGGTCTTGATCCTTGACTGGAGCACCCGGTGGTTTAGGGTTTAGGGTTTAGGGTTTAGGGTCCGTGCTGGCTGGTTTTGCGGCCCGGGTAAGGTTTCGAAAACTAAGCCTTCAGAGCTCAGAGATTGAAACATAAAAACAAGACTTACTATACTATGAAAGAAAAGAACAGACAAGAATAGAATCGAATAGAATCGAATAGAATCGAATAGAATCGAATAGAATAGAATAGAATAGAATTAGAAT